AGAGAGAGAGAGAGAGAGAGAGAGAGAGAGAGAGAGAGAGAGAGAGAGAGAGAGAGAGAGAGAGAGCAAAGGGCCCCCTTTACGTCAATTCAGGGCCCCCTGCAGGTAACTCAAATGGCTCCGACAATACACATGGACATTATGGAGGCATGAGGACCGTTGCTTCAGTAAGTATGATGGCCGCGTCATATATAGAAGACGTGGGAGCAGACCACCAATATATGCTGTGGGATCGAATTCAGGTCTGTAGCTCGACAGTTATAGGTCACGAAGTCAGCTAGACTCCACGTGAATCTCAGGGCCTAGCTCCACCACTCACCAAATGTATAACATTTGAATGAATCTTCTGCTAAAACATGGAACCATACAGCGCCATATGTATGTCTTTTGTGCGTGTAGCGAGTAGTGGAGAGAGGCCCCTTGGGCCACTGTACGTATTCATAAGAGAACAAAAAGAAAAATGTGAGAGAGCTACAGGCATCTTCATCCTAACCCATAACTGCTGACATCCAGACCTGAATGCCAATCTTCAGCATATATTGGTGGTCGGCTGGCCTCACCAAACATATTTTGAGACTTCTGCGAGACAGTGTGGGGCAGGACGCTACTGGGCAATTACACTCTTCTCACAAATTCTTCCACCACTGTGTGGTATTTGCAGAAGGGAGGGGGAAGGCCAGTTACCACACCCCACCTAAAAAAGAACACTGGTGCAATCAGACTCGACTTCAGACTTGCTCACGACATGCATACACACGGACTGATGGCAAAACCAAACTCGTCAACTCAGAATCAAGAATGAACTTGCACTCAAACGCTGTTCAATACAACTGTACAATTTGCGGCTATGGCCGGTGAACAGTCTCCACCACCAGCCTCACTCTCCCTCATGCATGCATGTATGAGGATCACCCTGAATGTCCACGCTACACACGCACACACTCTGTACACTCTGTCTGAGTTAGCAGCTGGGCGGCTATGGCTGCCGTCGTCTTCCTCCTCCTAGCTATGGCTGCCGGTGTTTCCCTCACTGGCCAGCTATGGCCGCTGTCTAGCTCAAAGCCCACTTCCTCTCCGGGCACCTGCAGACCTCCACGCACAAGATACCAAGGCAGCTCTTCCACATGATTCACAGGCGAATGAATGAATGGCTGGACGCTGCCTCTTTGTTTATACTTCTTCAGAGGTACCCGGGCCTGCCTCAAAACGTGGGTGCCTGGGCCAAAACGTGTGGCCCAG